TAACCTTAACCTTATAAATACTAGAGATCTTAAAACTATTAAAGATTTAATAGCTATTCTAGTTATAGATATAATATCTTCTAAAGCTTCTTTAGATTTAACGTCTTTCGAAATATTAATAATACGCTATCTATTTAATACTTTCTCTATAACAAATACTAATACTATTAAACGTTATCGCTTATTTAAGAGCTTATAAACCTCGATTTCTTCTTTCGAGTTTATAACTAAGGGCTATTTTTCTATGAAGTATACGCTATTAGCGCGAATAACTATTTTCTTAGTAAGATTATATAGTCGAAAGATATACTCCCCCTTATATCTTAATAGAATATACTTTTCGCTTCGATTTATAAGCTTCTTCTAAAGTCGTTTTATCGCGTAAGCGATAAAATCGATTATATGTAAATAAGAAAAAATAGACTTTCGTTAATAGAAGATCTTAAAAGAAATTATAATAATTCTAATATTAGATAACTATATTATTAAATAATTAGCGATAATAACGATTTCAGGTTAAAAAGATTTATTAAGATTAAAGCTTAAAAGAATAGAATATATTTTATATAGTAAGATCTATCTAAAACGCTTGACTATATTATTTATCTAAGAATTATTAAAAATAGTAGATTTCTACTTAATACTCGATAAAGCGAGATAGTTAAGAAAGACTTTAAATATATACTTACCTTTATTATTAAGATAATTATAAGAATATAACGAATATCTTACTCTTATAATAAATATAATAGACTTTAAAGTAGAAGATAAAATTATTTTTAAATATTATAAAGTATCTATAACTATTAAAATCTATAGAAAATAGAGACCCTATAAGATCGCTATAAATGAATTTACTTAATTATATATTAAGCGTAGTAGAACTAATATAGAGAATAGTCTTTTAGCGCCCTATAATATAGTACTCATAAGTATACTCATTCGCGATATTCTTAATAAAATTTATATCTACCGCTATAGCGAAAAGTCTATTTAAATTCTACTAACTTAAATAACCCATATAAGTATATTAAAGTTAATAAATTAAGTTTAAAGAAATACTATATATCGTTAAAGTACTATTTAAACTATTCTAGAGATCGAGAAAGAATAAATCTTAATTACGAGTATTTATAAGCTTTAGATTATCTTTAATTAAAGCGTAGTTAATCTTATAAAAGTCGATTACAATATCGATATTTAAGAGTTTATTAATAAAAAGAAGATTAACGTCTATATTAAGTATATATAAGATATTAAATAGAATAATACTTATACGCTTATCTTAAATAGAGTAATTTAAATTAATAATATTACGATTAAGAAATTAAATTTAACTATTCTTAATATCGCGAATAGAGCGAGAGTAAATCTTTTTATAGATAATAAATATTAAATAATTAATAAAGAAATAATAAGAGTAGCTAGAGTTTACTATTATATAAGAGTATAAATCGACGAAGTTAGCTATTATTAAGTTATACTTTAAATTAAAATTAACGACTATTAAGTTAATAACTTTCTTATTATTAATTATATTAAAAATATTAAAATTATTAAAACTAAAATTTATATAATATATAGTTAAATTTAATTCTTTTAGAAAGATATAGTTAATATTAAGATACTTATTCTTCTCTAAAGTAGAAGCGTTAAAGAATATCTCTTTAATACGCTTACGCTTAGTGTTAAGGCTCTTTTCTATATTATTAAAGTTAATTATAGCAATTTAAGCCTTCTTCTTCTTTTTCTTATTCGATATAAACTTTTTAAACTTTAGATAAAAGAACTTAATCTAGTATTTAATCGGGGGATATCTAAATTTATATTTAACGACCTTATATAGAGAGTAAGTTTCGCGATTAATTTCTAAGTTATTAGCTTTATAATATCTAGCGAACTACTTATCTTTACTCTTATCGCTATTATTATAAATAGCGTATATAGTAATATCGCTATCTTTAAATAATAGTAAATAAGTTTCTTTATTTATCGCGATATAGATAATCTTATTAAATTTAATAATCTTATCGTTATATAGCTTATAAGTCTAAATATAAATTATTATAAAGATATTAAAAGAGTTTTTAAGTCTTATAAGAAAGAGTTAAATTAGAAAAGGCTTTAATAGAATAAGCGATTTATATAGACTAGCGATTTCGATAGTAATTTTATAAAAGTTCTTTTTATATTAGCGAATATCTCTCTTGAAAGTAAGAGTAATATCGAGTAATTAGCGAATTAGCTTTATATAGAGTTCGAAGCTTTTAGACTTATAATATTTAGCGATAGCGTTTAATATTACTTAAGAATTCTTATTATTATAATCGATTTTAATAAGCTAGTAATTACTATACTCGAGATATTAAAAAATAGCTATATAAATTTTAAGCTTAATAATTTTAATAAAGAATAAAAGATTATTAAGTATTAATTAGTTCTTAATATCTTATTTTTATCTAATATATTCTATATTAGATTCTAGAATAGCGATAAAGATTAAAGGAAAACTACTTTTATTAAATTAAGACTAATTAAGAGTATTAGCCGTAGCGCGCTATAACTAATTATTTAAATCTATTATTATTAGAAGATAGTTTAAATAATAATACGTAGAATACTAATAGAGAAGGCGATAATAGCGATAATAATAATAATTTAGCTACTATTTTAGACGAGATAGTAGAATTAGAGAAAGACTCTAAGAATAACTTTAAAGCGAGTAAAATAGATTTTTTAATATAAAGATTAAATAGCTTAATATCGCTTATAGAGCTAAAGATATCTTCGCTAACTTTAAATTTAGAGTTAATAAGACTATTATTTAATAAAGTAACAAGAGTAAAATAAATACTCTAATCGTCGTTAGAGTTCTTAAAGATCTTATTAATACTAACTAACTATCGCCTTTAGGCTTCGAGTTCTTATATAAAAAATAGAAAGTATTTATATATAGAGCTGCGATAGATATAGATAATCTAATTAAAATAAAAGATATTTAGTAATAAGAATAACTTATAAACGTAGGCTGATTTCTAATAGAATTATACGAAATGTAATTATTATAAGCGTACGAATCTTCTTCTTAAAGGGGGATTAATATTCTTTTTATATTATTTATTTAGAGATTTAGATCTAGAATATTTATATCGCTAACTACTATTATAAGACTTCGAAGATTATTCTAATTTTATAATTATAATAGTAGAATATAAGCGATTATAAAAAAAGAATTCGATAATAAGGCTTTAACTCTCTTCTTTAAGGGGCTTCTAAAGGCCTAGAAGCTAATATTAATAAGATATCCTTATTATTTTAGTCTTAGTAGGCTTATAAGCGCACTGAGAGATAGTAATACCAGCTCTGAAATGCTTTAGATTACGATTAAACTATTAATACTAATATTTAATTACTTTTAATTAATAATTATTAATTCGATAATTAATATATAGTTTTAAACTTAATATTAATATAAAATAATTTTATTTTTAATAGAGTTAAGTATTCTAATTTAGCGAAAGCTAGTAAGATTTAAAGATCTTAATAATATAACTTAATCGTATAGCGATATAATTATATACTTAATATATTTAATAAATTCGATATTTCGGCTAGAGGCGATATACCTTAGCTCACTTAAGATAAAGGCGAAAGCGATTTTTAGTCCTTTATATTATTAATAAATTATATTCACCTAAGCTTATAACTATTTTAAGAGAAAAAAAATACTTCTATTAAGAAGGTTAAAAGAATATCTCTATAGCTACTACTATCTTTATATAATAGACTTTAGATATTATAAGATAAATACTAAAAGTCTAAAAATAGTTATAATTATAGAGGCGAATAGTAGTTATAATATAATAGTTATCGAGTAGAGTCTAGGCTTATAATCTATAAAAATATAAGATAAGATACTTAGTTATTAACTATAGAGTTCTATAAAAGAAAAGAGCGACTTAACACGAGCGCGCTAAGGCATATCACGTGACGTAGTCACGTGACCGCCAAGACGCCAAGAGTTACGTGATCCGAATTCCAACAATCTCTATATCCTTTTCTAAACTGGCTATTATCGTAGTGACTATATCTTTAGACTTATACTCTCTTTAAGTGTATTTTTAAAGCTTCTTTGAAAGAAGCTCTGTATAAATGTTAACGAATTATGATCCGAAGTTTTCTTCGGATAGGAGGTCGAGTTTGTGACCACTATCCTTTGATGTGGATATTTTGAATGAAATAGACCCTTTGGCCTATAAATGGAATAGACCCTTTGGCCTTTGAATGAAATAGACCCTTTGGCCTTTGAATGAGCTAGACCCTTTGGCCTATGAATCCCCTGGTGTCTTAGGGTTGGAATGACTTGAATCAATAATTGACTGCTGCGTAGTAGCAGCGCGAGGGCTCATAACCTGTTGGAAATGTATGAGAAGGATTGATTGATTAACTATGGAATGGTATGTAGGCTACTTATACCATGTGAAGCCCATGCTAATTTGCCACCTGATTGCCACCATGCGGGGTAGCTACAACACAGGTGCTGCAGCAAATCTCAACACTTAGATGTAATGAGAGCTGGTATAGGTGAGGTTCATTTTCGCATGGTGAGTCCTTGCGCATACTCTACCACCACCACGTCCATTCGTATTCCACGAAAGTGTTCAAATGGGTGGATTTCATCAAGTGGTAGATGCCATGCCAATTCCTACTTAGATTAGCTGTACAAAGCGGATAACCAGAAGACCCTGCTTAGATGGTAGGGTGCAATACGAATACTCTGTAGAAGTCAGGTGGTCAGCTAGCACGCGAAGGAAATTTCGTCTCCTGCCAAAACATAGTCTGCGACAAATGTGCTTCGCGGAGGCTTTACGCAACGGCTTTAACCCCGAGTTGCAATAAGCAGAATGACTAAATACTCTACAGAGCACTCCAGTCCCGTCTATACAGGCCAAGCCTCCATTTGCCGTTGACAGCATCATCCGTTCAGGCTTCCCGCCATCATGGCCCATGTCATCTTGACCGGTCGCACGGGCACCGCTGGATCCGCTGTCTTCGCCCGCTGCATCGCTTCCTCCAGCCTCACTCGCATTCCCGTGCTTCCAAAACGGCCCGTCAAGGAAGCCCAGAGCGTTGGAAAGGTCGATGCGGTATACGCAAGGACTGCTCGAGCAGTTGAAGGGAGCCAGTGGGATGTGGGTGGGCTTCAGGGCATCTCAGCTGGGTAGGTTCAGTGGTGAAAACGTAAGTATAGCGGAGGAACCGCGCACGCACAAGATGTAGGCTCTGAGGAGTCCATGAGAGAAGAAGGGCTGACGTAGATTTCGGTTCAATTAATACAGAGTTCCTACCCTCGACTACCCTCTCGCAGCCGCCAAAGCGTTCGCTACGCTGAGTCCGCTCTACAACATTGTCTACGACTGGGGAGAAAGAGTCAGCCATTCTAAGCTTCTATTGCAATTAGGTCTCAGCTGATCCCTTTGAAGGCTACGCGCGACCCAGGTCGATTTACCGCCCTTTTCGCCAGCACGAATGGCGCTGTCCTCCCTTCCGTCCGCCCCGCCTTTATCGACGACACGCAGGATGCCGAGCTCAAACAAGGGAAAAGGCCTTCCTCGTATGCTTTGATGGACGAGATGGCGCTGGTGTTAAGGCCAGATTGGCCGAGTGGAGTCAGCCCGTCAGGGAAATTGGCAGGAGCTCAAGTCAGATGTGTGGAAGAACAGGGAGCTGGAGAGGAGCTGGGGAGGGCATATCAAGGCAAGGGCGTCAGATTTAATGGAGAGACAGAAGGTGTGGGAAGCCTGATTGAGAATATAGGATGGAGAAGGTTGGCAGGACTGTAGCAGGTCGATTTTCTGCAAATTTATCTACAATGCCTCCTCGTCACCTATTTCTGACCCGGCCGGACCCATCACGACAGTGGAATGCCCCCAAAACGCGCTCTTCACCACGCAAAGCAACGCCTCCATCCCCATCGTCCCCTTTCCTCCATCACCAAGACTTGCCCTTCTCCTCCCCCGACCTCTTGCATCACCGGCTTCAATTATCAATCTCTCACCCGGCCAGGAATCCCCAGAGCCTCCCTCATCATCGGCCTCTCCTCTTCCAAACGCGCCAAAACAACCGCGGCCTCCCGGCTCAAACGCTCACTTCTGAGCTCCTCCTCATCCTTCGCGTTGAAGTAACGAACGAGCTCGGGAGCAGGCTCCTCGGCGATGCCCCCATGATCTGGCTACGCGTGTAGCCGACGTTGCAGCGGCGTGCTTGGCTAGGAGATGCGCTAATTCCATGGATCAATCTTTGTGTCTTTAGAAGATTCACTACTCTCAGTTGTGCGTTTGTGTTGACGTTGCCTACGTCGAGCTTCTCGCACCTCACGATTGTCTGATTGATTTGTAGTCATGGCTGCAATGCGAAGTGCAATTGTGCGGTAGTGTGGTGTGCGATGCTTCTTATGTTCGTGGTGGCTTACGTGGTCAAGTGAGATAAGTACAATGCGACTCTACCTCGTTTCCACTTCCCACCCATCCCAGCCCGCCTCATCGGTACCATTCGACCTTGTCCCTCTTGAGAACCCAACCCTAATCCCAGCAATATCGACCGCACTCTTCGCATACCTGACCTTCGCCCCGAAGCCCTGACTCCACGCCTCGTCAAAGTTCTCCTTAGCGAAAAGCTCTGGCCTTACTTGCTTCATAGCACTTAACGCTCGTTTGCCCACTTCGTCAACGCTATCACTATGCCTCAGTCCACCTTCCCCTTTGCCATAAAATCCAGCATCCCTGAAGCGCGATTTGAGATCGTCGACAACTTCAGGCGGATATAAACCCAAGCTCAAGAGATAGACATTGTATCCAACTAAGCTCACACCGCCCCACCAGCTTCCTCCTTCGGTAGCACGCTTATACAGACCTGTCAGTGCAGCAATAGCGCCCGCGCAGCCAGTCCCGTAATCGCTCATTGGGAAAGGTGGAATGACCGGCCCCTCAAGGTCTAAAAATTCGGTACCTTGCGTCCACGCGACACCAGTCACACAATCCGCAATCTGCTGCCAGCCCGGTCTCTGCGACCATTGAGACGCCTCGGAGTCTGGAGCCTCGTTTGAAGAAGGGGGAAGGGCGCCAAAGCAGGATTCCGAGATGTAGATGATGCCTTTGTTCCGAGACTGAATCAGCTGGAGGATCTGGGAGGGTCCATAGCCTAGGCGGGTTAGAGAGCCAGGACGGTAGCCATCGACAAGTATGTCAGCAGTTTGAAGGAGGGATTCGAATACCTGGCGCGAGTTCGGGTCGCGGAGATTTAGTTCCGTGGCGTGTTTGCCCATGTTGCCGTCAACTTGAAAGAATGGTACGTCACTCAGGTGAGGTGCAGTAACCTTCAAGACATCCGCTCCATACTCCGCCAGGGTACGCCCGATGACTGGTCCAGCGATTATCCTACAGAGCTCCAGTACTCTGATGCCAGCAAGCGGCTGTGGCTTGTTAGTTGTGCTACTTCGGGCTGGAAATGGCACGGGTGGTGTCGAGATTTCTAGATTCTCGAGAGTCCATGGTGGCAGCTCCAGCTTGCTTCGGCCATAATGTGTCTTTTTGAAGTCGTCGTATTTGAGACAAGTTACGCCTGCTTGCCTATGCTTAGCGTTCATTGCTTCAAGCTCTGCAGGTGAGAATTCCTTCATATGGCTTTCGATTAGATTGAGGCAGTCATGATAGTCGGTCACATCGGGTCGGTACCCCTCCAGGCCAATCATGTTGAGTGAGGTTGTTGCTTCAAGCGAGCCATGAAGATGAAAATATTCTCCAGGAGTCCGAGTTTCGTACAGATTGGCTGCAAATCGTCGATAGAGGATCGATTGGGCCTTCAAAAGATCCGTGTCTGGAATCGTAAGTCTATGCTCAAGCTGGCGTCTCTTGAAGCTAACCCTTCAACTTTGACTTGACATTGGGATCCCCTTTTGCCATGCCATCGACTGTCGAAAGATATGCAGCAAAAAGAAAACAAGTGGCTCGCTCTACGCTGATCCTGATGTCTCTCTTATCCATTCCAAAGCGTAAATCAGTAATAGCAGCTATAGTGCTAGCTTCAACAGCCTTCAACGCCGTGACAGCTTCGGTCTCCTTTAGAGGACAAGGCAAGCCTATAACGTCTCCATGGCCTTTAGACTCAAAGGCCACATCTCGAAGATGGTTTTTCACTTCCAGAGGGACTAATCCATCTGCCGTTCGAAGAAGATCTTTGAGTGCTGAATGGATTCCCTTCTGCAGCGAGTATGGCTTTTCACCGTTCAACATCTTGCCAATGGTCAGAATGATCAAAATATCTCAATTTTCACAATACTTGCTTCGAATCAAGGCTCTTCCCAAGAGAAGTAAGTCTACGTAAAGCTTTGAAACTCGCCCTGACCCTTTATAGTCATGTGGACATGATCCGAAGATCCCGGCATCACCTCGTAAGCAAGACCGTAAAGAGCAAGAGTAGCAACCACAGGAAGAGGTACCTTGCCTCGCCTCGTATCAAGCCGTCGTTTCAGCATGACGTTCGCCATGAATAAGATGGTCCCACCGGTGCCAAAGTCAGTGCACCATCCGACTCGAAGCGGGGGTCGATAAGGAAAAGTTGTTCGCCTCAAAGATCGGCAATTTTTGCCTCAATCCCTTAGACGTGGTTTCCCGCACCAAGCCCCTTAGGGTTGGTTCGCGCTTAGTAATGAGACGAGCGGTGCCAACGGGAGCGAGGTCAGTATGCTAACCTAAAGAAGCTTAGCACCTTGGCACGTCTGAGGGACTAACGCTCAAGCGCAGTTCTCGGCTTCCGTAGGACTTCTACATTAGCGCCCTATGAGCTAAGGCGGCCTAGGCGATAAAGTAAACAACTCGTCATTTCTCCGATGACAACAGACTCCAATACCACACCATCGCTTCAAACTTTTGCATCACCTTACACAAACATTGTCACAGGTTCCCAGCGTGATTAAGTGCTCTGATATCTCGCCGAAAATGGCTACACCTCGACGGAGGTCCTCGCGCATCAAGGGCGAAACACCTGTGAGTAAACAGCACTGCCGACATATTAACCCCAGCTTTGCCCCCTGTCTATTTGTGTCGTGGTCCAGGAATACATACTGACCGGGTAATAGTCTCACCTCAATGCTACGCCCTTAGCAAGTAAGCTATCCTCTCTACTCGAGAGGGACGAGTCTCCTCCAAGTGGTGCCCCACGCTCCCTCAACACACTAGTCTCCTCACCACTCGCCCCTTCAAACACTGCTATGGCCCAAGGTCCTTTCACTGGCCAGTCATCGCCAGTCAAGACACCTCAGACAGCTTCTCGTATACAGCCACCTATGGTGGAAATGCACCCAAGCAAAGTCCACCAGAGCACTGTCAAGCCATCGGCGTCTCGTCAAGGCTTCGGCAGTATCTTTTCTCGAATGATTGCTTCTCCTTCAAAACCTACCCTCACAGTGCTCCCTCAGCAGACGCCATCAAAATCGAAAGGCTCTTTGCCCGGCCAAATGACTTCACCTACCTTCGACTTTACTTTTGAGCGCCCAGAATCGGACCTAAGTGTCGAGGCCCAGAAAATCATGGACAGCGTAAGAGAGGAAGCCGCAAAGATCAAAGCGCAGATGGTAGAAGAGCGAAGCAAACAAGAAAACAAAGATGGGGAGGCGGACCAACTCTACGGTGTTGGCGGTCGGAAGATTGCAAAGCCCAAGGGCAAGTCTGGACGGTACAGTGATGTTCACAAGCAAGAGTTCAAGAAGATGGCTTCCATCGCTGGACATGGATCAGTCTGGAAGAACAAGGTCGAGGCCAATGCATCTTCGTTGAAGCGAAGCCCATCAAAGGCAGGGCTAAATGAGCCTCTCGGGAAACTTCCTCGGTCGAAGTCATTCCAAACATTCGGTCAACAGATTTCGAGCGATCGACTTGAGAACACCTCGCCGGGCAAGCGTGTCAAGCAGAACCGTTACGATGATACATCCTCAGCGAGGCCAGTCTCACGAGACACTGACTCGGAGGTAGAGCATACACAGACCACATCTGCCAACGTACGAACTCAGTCTGGCTTACCAAGCGCCGTCACCACTCCTACAAAGGCATCTTTGGCTCGCTCAGTCAGCGTAAAGTCAATGAAGACATCCATGATTCCATCGTTGAGTAGATCTGCTTCTACAAAGACTCTTGGAAGCCCAGTAGCGCCAAAGACTGAAGGAAGCAACAAGTACCTCTCTTCGCTTTCACGCTTTGGCAGCATGAAGTCCATTCTACATCGCTCCCAGCCGAAGTTCTCCAATGATCCAACAAAGGTTGCAGCAGGCACTCACCTGCCACTCCCTCAAGGCAAGATGGATCTTGAGAAGGATTTACCTGATCTCCCTGGTACTCCGTCGGTGGGTCTGCATCGTTCGCCCACGATGAAGCGAGTAGGCTTCACACCCAGCACCAAGTCTCAGCATGACCTTGCAGCCAACTCGCCATCTCCATCCAAGATCCCAACACCATATCCATACCATCAATCGCAACCATCTGATGACACCCCTAAATCCTCCGATCCGATCTCGTATCCGGATCTGGGTAACTCTCCTAATATCACCACTCGCACCAAGATCCATAAAACATCCGCGCCTGGCGACTTCACCTTCCGCTCCGAGAAGACTATGGACTTCGACACCGGATCACCTGCCTCTATTACCAGCCCAGGAAGTACGATCCGTCACGTCCGTCCAAGCAGCATCTCAACGCCTCTGTCTGCCTTCAGCAACCTCCCATCCATTCCGCATGGCATGTCAAACAAGAAGCGACGTCGTGCCGAATCTGACACCGAAGCTGGAGACGAA